CAGCTACTCAGGTGGGAATCCCAGGGTTAGGGGGAGCTTGGAGGAGCCTCCGTCGTGAGCAGAATTCAAGATGCGATGCGGTGAGCTAGTGAATGGACCCAGAGCACCTCTAGGGGGCGGTGCTGTTTAAGGCCACTTACTTGCCTAATCATTTCCCCTGATCATGCCAACATATTGTAACATAATAAGGAATTTGACTGTGCTGTTCAAATCCTCTATACCTTTACTGACTTTTAAAAAATTGCTTCATTTTTAAGATTCAAAGAAAGGTGTAATAAAATCTCCCACAATGATTTTGTGAATTTCTAACAGTTTAGCTTTGAATGTTGATGTTCCTTTCTTGAGGACACACAGTTCATTATATATTTACATGGATTGTACCTTTAATTAGTGCAAAAAATGGGGGGCTCTATTCTCATTTATTATCTTTTGTTTAAAGTTCTATTTTTTTTTTAAATTAATACTGCCACCCCACCTTTATGTCTTCATTTTTCTATCTCCTTAGTTTCAGATTTCTGGGTTGTCTTAGTGGTATCCTTGTAAACAGCATTTACCTGGATTTAGTTTGTTTTCATATTATAAGAATTCTTGTTAACAGGAGAATTTAACTCATTTACATTTATTATGATCATCCATGTGCTTGGTCTTATTTTGTGTGTTCTGATTAATATGCTGGTCCATTGTTTCCTTTTTAAATCATTTCCTGGGCCAATCAGGTTTTCTCATTTCTCCCCATCCTCGTAGTTTCCCCTTTTATTTTATGAGAATAGGTATCATTAACTGTTAATAAAAACCTTAACATCTATATTTTATCAAGAATTAAGCATTTCTCCAATGTTCCTATTCCTGAATCAAACAAGATCTTTGGAAAATTTATTTTCTCTTTTCACCAAGAGTTTGTTGAAATAGTCTAAAATTTCATTTCCAGATAACTAATTTTTTTCTTTAAACATATGTATTTTCTATTTCAAAAATCCTCTCCAAACAATTGCAGTTACTCTACAGCCACCTTCAAACAATTATTTAGACTTGATTAATCTTTTCCTCATTTTGAACCCCTTTTTCTTACGGGTGTATCTTGCCTCATCTTGAGTCTTTGAATCTTATTATTTTGTCATTGACTGATTTTAAAAGCTTGGGTTTGGAATATAATCCAAGTACTGGCTTTTACCTGCTGTGTGACCTGGCTAATTTCTTAGCCTTTCTGTACCTTAGTTACTTCATTTAATAAAGGGAATAATAATAGTACCCACATCCTAGAGTTGTGAAAACTCAATGGAATTAGGCAATGAATGAATAAATGGGGAAATGAAGGCTGTGGGTTTCTCTCTCTCCTATCTCTCAAGAAGCTCTCACCACTAGTTCTCCCTGAACCCCATGATGGAACAATTTTATTATTTCTTCGTTATTTTAAAAGTTGAGATATAATTCACATATCATAAAATCCACCTTTTTAAGAGCATAATTCAGTGATTTTTTTAAAAGTATATTTACAAGGCTGTGCAACCATTACCGCTAATTCCAAAGCATCATCATTCCAAAAAGAAACCCCACTCCGCATCCTCCTCACTCGTGGAGCCACTAATCTACTTCCTGTCTTTATAGATTTGCCTGCTTTGGACAATTCCTATAAATAGTACTATGTAGTCTTGTGTGGGGCTTCTAGCATGTTTTTGGAGTTCATCATGTTGTTTGGCGCGGATTCTTAACCACGGGCATGTTAGTTTTCTAACTAAATCTTGCAAATACAGAGAAACAAAAGCTCTCTCTGCAGAGCCAAGCACGGAGTACTTCGAGGCCGCGGCAGGCAAGAATGAGCAAGCGGCGGGCGGAGCCGGAGGACGCGGCGCCGGGCGAACCGAGAGCACTCCTGTCCTCTGCCTGCATGCAGGCGGCTGCCGGATGCTGCGCTTCACTGGCCCAGGTGAGGCCCACCGTGGACTTCATCCCCGTGACAGAGGGACTAGCAGTCACACCTCGCCCGCGCTCCAGCGGAACTCCCTGAGAGGACGCGATGTGTATTTTTTGAGCGACTACTATTGTACGCCAGGCGCACAGAGGTGCTGGGAGTGGATGAGCGCGCGTAGCAGGCGCCCGGAGATCTCCAGCCGCGGTGGTTACTAGTGCTGGTGTTTTCAGGGCTGTGACTATGGTGACTGAGGAGGACTGGGAGGTTCGGACGCCGCGGGGAACTGAGGCGAACGCGAGC